CACGGTGCCAAGAGCAGGAGCCCTGCTGCCGAGACGCCCCGAGTCCGTCCCCATCTCTGCCACTAAATAATGTCTGTATCTTAAGCACCTGGAGCCTCATTTCCCCTTTGTATAAAATGGACATAATAACCGCCCTGTGCAGTGGATTATGATGCTGGGAGTGATGTCTGTAACGCATCTGCCTGGTGCCTGGCAAGTAGCTGGCATCTTATAATTGGGAGTTATCATTATTAAGGGCCGCTGCTCGGATTGAGGGGACAAGAAAGGTAAATCAAAGTGTCTCTGTTCTCCAGGGGCTCCCAGGAGAGTGGGAGAGACAGAAACGCACACATGAGTAACTTTTAATCCAAAGCAGGCTGGGAGAAGTGCTCTAACCAGAAGCCCAAACAATGTGGGAAGAATGGGGGAGGGAGCTCTGACAAGTCTAGCCCAGGAGCTTTGAGTTCGGGTGGGGGGGGGCAGGGAAGGAGAGGCGCGGGGAAGAGGCTGGGAATGGGGGTTTCTGCAGCTCTGACCCCTCCTCAAATTGTGCGAGAAGCGCAGAGCGCCCCCCCAGGACCCGCCTCATTTCTCCCCAGGGTCCCTCCGTGTTCCCCTTGCCCTCCCGACCCTGTTCTGCTGTTCACCTGCCCCCAAACCCTGGCTGAGCGTCCCGGGAGTCTCCTGTCCCGTGGCGCCCTGGAAGTGGGGGGCACCAGGAGTCTGGGACCCCAGCCTCACTGCTGAGTCTAAAGGGGAGACGTGCACCAGACATGGGGGTCCTGGCCCCATGGCCACGCTGGGTCCCCGCCCCCGCCCTCCGCCTCTCCCCCTCCATCTTCAGGACCTCGGCCTTCCTTCTCCTCTGCCTTGGCCTGTGGCACTCAGGGTCTTTGTGTCAGCGGGTCCTGCCTGCTGTCTTTCCCTCTGGATGCCTGTCTCGGGCCTGCCTCTTCCTCTCCTGGCCTCCTCCTCACCAAGATCCGCCTTGCCTGGTGCTTGTCCTCCAGTCTCCTCCGTGTCCCTGGCTCTCCCCGGCCTCCGCGTGGGTGTCTGGCTCTGTGCCCTGCCCCGACAGCCTCCCCTCAGGCTGTGTGGCCCTGTGCCTGCGGCCGCGTGTCCTTCCCCGCCTGTCTTCGTGATGGTTGCTAAGGCTTCCCCCGCACCTGTAACTGCGTCGGAGGACAGGGAGGCCACAGATCAAAGCCTGTGGGAATTCACTTGGGAGCCCACCCGCAGATTCGCACTGGCCCCAGGCTGGAGCTGCCGGGCAGGGCGGGCGAGGCTGGACAATGGTCGGGGTCTGTCTGCGGTCAGGCTCACCCGAGTCCCCTCCCACCGCCGTGGGCCATGCCCCTGCATTTCTGTTCCGCGCTGGCTTTATTTCCTGCGAGCGGGGCGCGGGCCCAGGCGGGACTGCAGTCTGCCCCCCATGCCCCCCGCCCCCAGGCTGCAGCGCGGGCTGGGCTCTGCTCGGCCACAGCTGGTGGAGGCCTATGTGTGTGTGTCCTTGATAGGCCACCGGGACTGGCTCTGGGTGCCTTTGTGACATGCGGGGGCATCCCCAGTACCTCCTTCTTTGTCGCAATGCCACCAGGACGCATCTGCCCTTTTGCTGTGGTGCCCTGTCCAGTGTCAGTCCCTCACTGCTCACTTTCTAGGCTTCCCCTCAGCGATCCCATCATTGCATCAGAACCTTGGGTCCTGCCTCCTTACCCCTCCCAGCTCTAGTCCACACTCCCTCCTCCAGGGAGCCTCTCAGGACTGACCGCGCCCTGCCCAGCGCTGTTCCTGTGCCTCTGCAGGGAGAACCTAGCCTGTCCCTCCACGACCCTGCCCTGTCTGTGCATCCGCTGGAACCTGGGAGCCTGACCAGGGCAGGCGAGCTCTGCCCTCTGCCTCCTTTCCTTGACTGGGGGACGGTGGGGGTGGGGTCACACGGCAGGATCTCTCACTGCTTCAGAACACCTGCCGTGGGCCTGGCAGCCGGGCCCCACGCTGGGTGAGGGGCCAGAGCTCTGAGGCACACAGCCTGGACTCGAGTCTCCTGGGCTCGGGGCAGGGACGGGCAGTGCCGCAGGGGCCATAGGATCGCAGAGGTGAGAAGTGAGTAAAAGGGGCTCTCAGGGCTCATGGGAAGTCCAGGAAGACTTCCCAGAGGAAGTAACTCTTCGAATCCCGAGGGAGTGGGGGTAACAGTGTCTCCTCACCGCCTCCCAACCCCCAGAATGGGCTGTGCAAGGCCCTGGAAGGGGGGCAGAAGCCTGTCTCAGGCCTGGTCTTGACTGCAGGGGTTGTGGCAGGGGGCGGGGGGGGCGGGAAGACTCGCTTGTGATTTTTGCAGGGTCAGGATCTAGGGGCCTTCCCATCGAGTACGATTCCCGAGACCTCTTCATTTTCCCTGCTCTCTGGACTCTTCAGTCATTGCTTTCACGTCGTCTCGATGGCTACTGCCTTCTCTGTCATGTCCTTGCTCGGGTTTCCAGGGGCACCGCTAACCATCTAGCTGCCCGGGACAGATAAGGGCCATAGTTGCCAGTTAGTGGGCACAGGCAAGGGTTTGTACCAGGCCGGTCATACCCCTCATCCCGTTAGCCTCCAGGGAACCCGGGAGGAGGGCATTATCACACCCCGCAGTACCAGTGAGGAAGTGAGGCTCTGAGAGGGACTTGGCCAAGGTCACGGTTAGGAAGCGGCAGAGGCATTATGCAAGCCTGTCTGCTCCTACACCTGTGCCCCTGAAAGGGCCCCGCGGTCCTTGTGCAGACCCGTCCCGTACAGGCGAGCGGGCTGGGGAAGCTGCAGTGCGCCTCCGTCCTGCCCGCTCCCCATCTCTGACTCTGACCACAAGGGCTCCCCCCATCCTGCCCGCTCGCTCCCCGTGGACAAAGAGCAGCTTCTCAGTGTTTGCTGGAGACTTCGCCGGGAGAACAGGGTGTCCGGGTCCCATTTCCACGCTCAGGAAAGCCGTGAATACGAGTCCCATCTCTGGGCCGGGGTAACGGGCCACCCCACCCCCAAGCCCTTGACTTGGGCTCCGGGGCCATGGGAAGGACAAACGTGCATGTGGGGGGCTTGCAGTGTGGAGCAGCCCTGGAGAAGGCGCAAGGATATGAATACATTTGAATAATAATGAGGGCAATGCCTGAATTAACAATGCTGGCTGCTCACCTGACCCACCCCTCCCCCAGGATCCGGGCACCTGCCGCTGGAGTCCTGGGAAATGTGGGTGAACCTCACCCTTGGCTTCTCTGGGAGCCACAGACGGCGGCCAGGTCAGCAGAGTTGGGGGTCGCTAACTTCCTGGATTTGCACAGTTAACCGAGAGGGAAGAGGCTGCCTCGTGTATCAAATCATACGCTGGCCGTCATTCCCAGCCCTGCCCCCTCTCTCTTGGTCCCCTTTGTGTGCAGCAGACAACGTGGACGTCAGATGTCCAGGGAGACTCAGAGGGAGGAGATCGCATGGCCCTTGGCTGTAGGGGAGAAGCTCCTCTTCTGTTAGAACGGACAAGGCAAACACCTCCCTTCACCGGCTGCATTCTACCCCATGATAAAAACACGGGCATAAACTCTTAGAGTCTGGGACAGGAAATGCATGGATAGAGCTGTGATGGCAGGACTGGGAGATGGGACAAGCTGTGTCTGTCCGAGGAGCTAAGGGATCAATCCAGGAGGGCTTCCTGGAAGAAGGGAATGTGGGGCCAGTTTGGAAAGGGGAGACATGGAGCGGGAGGAGGAGACAGAAGGGAGGGGACAAGACCTGGGGCCTATCTCTGGTGGCTTAGAGGGAGGTCTCAGAAGGGGGGGACAAGTTCCCTCTGCTTACACACTGGAGTGATCAGAGACATTGTGGAAAGGGTTGGATTTGGGGATTGTGGTCTCTGCAGAGACGTGGGAGCTGGAGAGGGAAAGAAGAGGGAGGAGTCCCCTGAGCTGTGGGCAAAGCGATTTCGGTCACAGTGGTGTGACAGATTGGGGATGAAGCTAGGAAGCCCCAGACCTCTCCCTCTGCCACCTCCCCCCCTCCCACAGCCTGCCCCACCCGCGGGACCAGGGCTGGCTCGCTGGGGGTGGGGGCCGGGGGTTGGGGCAGCCACAGTCCAATTCCCTGCTCCATTTAGGCTCCACAATTAAAGGCAATTACTCTGCAGCTCTCTAATCAAACGCTCCCGGCCGGGCTGCCAGCCGGGCTGCCATGTGTGGCTCAGCAGCCGGAGGGAGGGACGAGCAAAGTCACACGCACGCCTGGCTCCCACCGCGTGGGCGGCGGGGCGCGGGCCAGTGTGTCCGTGTGTGCCCACGCGTGCCCCGGAGCTCGGGGGCAAGGGGCGGACGTGCGGGACGCAGCGGGTGTGCCAAGAAGCGGGCTCCGAGGTTTGCTGGTGGCACTCGGAGCCCCGGGAAGCCGGTGTTCAGCCATGTGAGGTGCCTGCCCGGGGAATCTGCCCTGTGTGCCCACTGGGCACGGCGTGGGGGGCTGTCCCTGCGTGGCGGCCCATCTGTGCTACCTCGTGGCGGCTCGCGTGACACGTGCAGGCAGGGGTGCGGTGCGTATTCCTGCCCTGGGATTGCAGGGGTGGCGCACGACCAGCAGCTTTGGTCACGGATGCAGCGCCTGGGAACAGGGGTGGGGGTGAGGCGGCGGGTGGCGGCACAGGACCGGGGCCTGGAGGGCCGAGGCTCAGGCTCTGAGTCCGCACTCTGCCCCTCACTCACGCTCACCCCCCGGGCCTCGGTGTCCTGTCTGTGGCACGAGGGGGTGGCAGGAGCCCCATCTCAAGCCTTTATATAACACTGCGCCGCTCTCTCTGATTGCTGAGCGCCTCCACTCCTGAAATCCGTTCCCCTGGGCCGGGGGGAGGAAGGAATCCAGGGCGGGCACGTGGCTTCTTGGCGGGAAGGGGCTGGGCTGAAGTGGGGCAGGGACAGGAGGGCAGGGTGGGGGCCTGGGAGGGTGGCCCCTTGGTGGAGCCCCTTCCCTCCTGCACGTCCTTACCCAGTGCCGGCTTGGCTTTGCAGGGACCCAGACCCGCTTCAGCCAGGAGCCGGCCGACCAGACCGTGGTGGCGGGACAGCGGGCCGTGCTCCCCTGCGTGCTGCTCAACTACTCGGGCATCGTGCAATGGACCAAGGATGGCCTGGCGCTGGGCATGGGCCAGGGCCTCAAAGGTGAGTGGGCTGCCCACCGGGCTGGCACCCAGACTGCCCTGCTCACCTAGCTCCTCACCGCGCTCCTCACTGCGCTCCCTCTCCGTGCTCCAGCCTCCCCTGTCCCATTTGAGTGCGGGCAGCCTCGCCCTCTCCTCCTGAGCTCCAGACTCCCTCCTGCCCCAGCCCAGGCCACGTCTGCTCCGAGGCCAGAAACCCCTGGTAACCTCAGCCTGGGCGCTTACGCACGTGTTCATCCAAGAAGCCTGTATCAGGCGCTGTGCAGCCCGCGCTGAAGCTACCTAGCGATTCAGTCAAACAGGACGGACGAACGACCGCCTGTATTCCAGAACAAGTAAAGGGACTTGTGGGAAGGCCTCCTGGCCGTGCTGAGGGGGAAGCCCCCGGGTTCTGGAGCTGCCTCTGCCACCTGTGAGCGGGGCTACTTAGGAAAGCCGCTGCACCTCTCTGGTCTTAGTTCACCACTGTGTAAGAGAGCTGTAGTCGTCACGGGCCTGTGCACGGCGTTTGTGAGTGTTGAACCAAATGAGAGATGGTGTTTTGTGAAAAGCCACGGCAGGCCTGAAAGCAGTGTAATGCCGAAAGCCCAGGAGGGGCTGTATATTTTTATTCTTTCTGTTGTCTGGGGCTTAAAATTATTTGCTGTGGGTTCTGCATATTAGCACAGGTAGGGGAAATTTGTCCATGTAGAGAAAGAGATAGGCTAGTGGATCTACTGATGATAGAAAGAAAGAGAAACTGGGAGAGAGAGATCAATAGATATGGAGTGAGAAGGATCGATAACCCCTGGGCAGAGGGAGATAATGGGAGGGAGCCGGTGGGGAGCCCGGGAGAGGGGGACAGGGGAGGGCAGGGGAGGCTGAGCCAGAGGGGGCCAGAGGCTCAGAGGCCCACCTGCCACAGCCGTGGCTTCTCCAGGGACCGCGTGGGTCAGGGGCTCCTTCAGGGGCAGGACCTGCCTCATTCGTCCCCCGCGTCGCGGGTACGGCGAGGCCTTGGCCTGCCTTGGCTCCCCCCGGCCCCAGGGAACCCCATCTGTGCTGCGATGCCCTATATTTCCAGCGCCCACATGCCCTCCCCCTCTCTTTTCTCTTGGCTTTTTTCCTCTTCCTTTCCTGTTATTATGAGAGACGTTTGTCTGCAAACAGCTCCAGAGGTTTCTGCTCCTCTCCCCCTTCTGTCTCCCTGTTGCTCCTGCTGCAGGGCCCCCAGACTCACTGTAGGACGTTGTGACATCGGGGTGTCACACCTGGGACTGCGGACGGGGTCCCAGGCCAGGGAGGAGGGAGGAGAGAGGAGAGGTGGCCTGGGTGGGACGCAGCCCCCGCCGTGGGGTGAGGGGATGAGACCTGGGGACAGAGAGAAGCCTGGCGGGCAGGGCGGTCTGGGCTGGGTCCCAGGCCGGTTCCCAGGCTGGGGCGGGGCTCATCTCGCTCGCCCTTTGTGTCCCTGCAGCCTGGCCGCGGTACCGGGTCGTGGGCTCTGCGGATGCTGGGCAGTACAACCTGGAGATCACGGACGCCGAGCTGTCTGACGACGCCTCCTACGAGTGCCAGGCCACGGAGGCCGCCCTGCGCTCACGGCGGGCCAAGCTCACCGTGCTCAGTAATGCCCCAGCCCCTCCTCTCGCTCTTTCCCTCCTGTCCCCTTGACTCCTCACTCCTTCCTGGCCTCAGGCCTGTCCCCGCTGCCCCCCAGATCCTTCTCTAAACTTCTTCCAAAGCCAAGTCCAATAGAAGAGGGTGAAGCGGGCACGTGGGCCCCCCTGGCGGGACCACGGGTGCACAAGGCCTGGCATCCTCTGTGCCCAGCTGGATTGGGCTCTGCCTGCGGGACACGAGGCTCCCCCAGGGCAGAGCAGTTGGGGTGCTGGAGACGCATCCACTCCTGGCCCAGGCTTGTCAGTGAGGGAACTTCTCCCGTCCTCCCCCTCTGCTGCCCCAGCCCCAGCAGCTGCCCCGGGGGCTCCTTTTCCTCCTCACTCAACCCCTACTGCCCTTCACCACTCCTTCCCTCCCTGGGCACTGAGGTTGCCCTGGAGGCCCTTCTGGGAGCCAAGGAGCAAGACCGGAAGGAACAAGACCCGAGGGCTGAGAACTGGGGTGGTGGGCTGGGTCCTGCTGGCGCCAAGCAGATGTCCCTCTGTGAGAACACCGGGGCCATTTGCAGAATGAGGGGACTGGACCCTGCAGGAGCTCCCTCCAGCCTGGTGCCCTCCCTGGCCTCGGCCTCTGCTCTGCTTCCTTCTGCCGTGACCCTCCCTCTTCCTTTTGTCCTCCATGCTGTCCCGTTCCTTTCTCCTGCCTTCATTTGATCTGTCCTGCTCCCTCTTTTCCATCCCTTTGCCTGAAATCTGTGACCTGGGAATGCCCCTGGAAGGGATGGGGGAAGAGGAGCAGAGACCGTGAGCTTGGACACAGGAAGGTTTTACCTGGGGGGAGGGTGGGAGTGAGAAGGTGACAGGAAGTCATCCTTGTGTCAGGGAAGGGCTGGACTGGGAGCTGGGAGTCAGGAGCCCAGGGCCATTTTGGTGCTGTGACCCTGAAGAGGTCATGACCCCTGGGTATCAGCTTGCTCATCAATAAGGTGGTACCACCCTTTTCTCAGCTGCTTTGCTGCTCCTGCCCAGGGAGCTGTGAACCGCGAGAGCTTGGGCACTGAGGTGTCAGGGTGTCAAGGCCCCGCAGGGCTAGGACTCTAGCCTGGCGGGGGGCTCGCTCTTCCTGTCTGGTGAGCAACGCACAGCACTGAGGTTAGGGAAAGAGAGTCAGGTGGCCGCCAGGGATGGGCGTGGGGCGCCATGACCGCACTTCCCGTCCCTCCTGGGGTGTGTGTGAGCCCGCGCCAGCCTGGGCCATCTAAGGGAGTCGCGAGATTCTGGGGAGTCCGTCCGTCTTCTTTTCCCTCCCTAACCACCTCGGTTGTGGGTTCTGGAGGTACTGCTTCTGACCTGGAGAACTCCCATCCTAACAAGGAGCCCCTGGTACTCCCTTCCCTCTCCTGCCCCAGACCTCCAAAGACAGAGAAATAAAGATGAAAAAAAGGCCAGCTAAACCCCTAGGTACTGCAGGAATGGGGCTTATAATGGCATCCAGTGGCTTGGTTCATTTAAAGAAGGCTTCCTGGAAGAGGAGAGTATCAATGGGGACCCTAGGTGGAGGAGTACCTTGTTTAAAAGCTTGCAAGCCACTGAGGGGAGTTTGGGGGGCATGAGGGGGCAGGGACAGGCCCCAAGAGGGAAAGAGGTGAGAGGTTCGTGCTTGCTCATCGCTCTCCCAGACGCCCTGCCACCTGCAGCCGCATGCAGGCCAAGAAGACAGGCTGTGTCTCGAATGCTCCCTGCTCACCTGGTTACGTACACCTTCGTCACGGCGCCGGAGCCCGGAGACTGGGCAGGCCAGAGTCGAGAGTGGGCTGCGTCCAGTGCCTGGTAGACCCCTCATCTGCAGCCACAGCCCTTGGTGGTCTCCCTGCCCCCACCCCAGGCCAGGCTTTCCTTCTCCCTGCGGCGGGACTGAGCGGCGGCCTTCCACTCCCCTGCAGATGCAGATGCAGACGCTGCGTCCACTTGCAGGCCTACAGCCCCCCCGAGTGCCGCGGGGAGGGGTGCAGCTCCAGGGCCGGTGGGCCTGGTCCCCCCCAGCCCTGCCGCTTAACTCACTCTCCTACCCCCGAGCACATTTCTTAACCTCTCTGAGCCTCAGGGACCTTGTCTGCCAATTGGGGTCCATGGTATTTACCACGAAAGAGTTAATGAAGTACACTTTGTGGTGAGCTTCACATGCAATCAGGCACGCGTGGTACTTGGACCCTTTGGTCAGCATTCCACGAACGGCAGAAACACCGGATCACATCACAGCTTACCGGTTGCATGTCTGGGATCTTATTTCGACTTCACAGCATCACCTCTGGGGAAGAGCCGTCAATGTTATTTTTAAAATTTTACAAACAAGGAAACTGAGGCCACAGACACATGTACATATTGAGATACAGATTTGTCACAGATCATAATAATTTGTTCATAAACAAGCATCCACACGAACACGCACCCTCTGATAGTGGAACAGACACTTCAATGGCCTTATTCTCCTTTGCCCCAGAAACAGAGAGAAAGATGGGTTAGCGACAGAGGCGACAGATGGACGGTCTTGCCTGAACGAGGGGAGAGGGCCAGCGTTCTAGGGAAGGGAGAGCCGATGGGAGGAGAAGCCTTCCCTCTGACCCAGGACACGGTGTCCCCCGCAGATGGGCAGGACCTCTGCCCATCCAGGACGCCCTTCCTGGGTGAGACAGCAGGTGTGACCTCAGAGGGGCTCACACAGACCAGGAGACCCAGAGCACCGTCTGACAGGGGGACCAGGCAGAGCAGCAAGCAAAGAGGAGGAGCCGGGGACTCAGTGGCTAATCTGCCGGCCAGGAACTGGGGGCGCTGCTGGCTCTCGTCTGAGCAGCTGAGCAAACACAGCCCAGGTATCACACGGGCCTGCACACTGTGGTCCATACCCAGCACCCCCGCTGACCTTCACCAGGGCCCCCTGGTTAGGTCCTGCTACGTCCCTGTTGAAGAAACAGACTCTGACCTGAGGGCCTCACCCAAGATCACACAACAGGTAAACAGACGTGCCAGGGTTTAAAATCAGGGCAGCCTGCTTGGAAACTACCCCTCTGCATGCACGAGTTGAGCGGAACACAGACGGGCTGCAGGTGGTTCCCTTCCAGTGGACACGGCAGCTCAGGACCGGCATTTCCCACACTCCGGGGCAGCCCGGCGCACTGCGAGGCTCTGTGGGCCTCCCACGTCTGCTCTCAGGGTTGTCTCACAGAGCCCCCTCTGGGTCTTCCCAGAGGCAAACAAAGCCCTTTCCCATTGCTGGCCTGATGACAACGGGGTGCACCAGAACGATGATAATCGAAATCCTGCCTCTGTCTCTTCAATCCCCCGTTCTTTCATTCAGTCAGTATCCCCGAGGACCTGCTGTCAACCCAGTTCGGCTAGACCTCGGGCTTTCAGAGAAAGAAGCAGCCCTACCTTCAAGGAACGTGTAATCTGATCGCCTGAGCCTTTAGGAGCCCGTGAGGATAGGACAGGAAGAGGCCTCCTATTCCTTGGCATCAGAAATCTGACCCATTTAGTCCCTCAAGCGGGTAGCAGGAGCCTACGGTGACCACCTCTGGGCCCTGGAGACAGTAGAAATCCAGGACCCGGGGACAGCGGCCTTGGCTGGGAAGGGGTCCCAGCAGTCATCCCAAGTGACCCCAACACAAGGTCGGTTAGGAGCTCAGAGCACCTGCCTGGGAGCCCCTGCGGGCCGGCTGTGGCGGGAGGGCCCATGCAGCAGGCCCAGGAAGGGACAGCGGAGGTGAGGACACGAGAGAGTGCAGGGCTGAGGGGCTTGCGGCACTTCGTAGCCCTCAGAGGTGTCTGAGCGAGGTGGTGGCACAGTCTTGGCTGCGCTGGAGAAAATAACCAACCTGCCCGCGGTGATGGATGTGTCGGCCGGGGGCACTGGAGGCAGGGAGTCCATTTGGGAAGTGGCTGGAGTGGACTGGCTCCCGGGGCTGGCCCAGGGCACAGGGGCGCACAGGACGGAATAGATGAGGACGCTCCTCCCGAGCCAGGCCCCCGGGGTGTGAGCGGCGCTCCAGTCCTGGAGACCCCGGCTCTTCCCCGTTTGCGGCCACGCCCCCTCACCCGCCAGCTGGGCTGGGAAAGAACTAGGTGGGGGGCGGGCGGGCTGTGCTGGTGGCCTGGGGTGAAGCCCCCCCAGGACCAACAGCTACAGTGATTGCAAGTTAAGGTGGCCACAGCCGTGCCGCGGGAGGGATGCCACCAGGGGCAGGGGCTGTGGGCGCCAGGGCGGAGCTGGCCACACCCTGACTGAGGCTCTGCTCGTCCCGCAGTCCCCCCAGAGGACACCAGGATCGACGGCGGCCCTGTGATTCTGCTGCAAGCAGGCACCCCCCACAACCTCACGTGCCGAGCTTTCAACGCCAAGCCGGCCGCCACCATCATCTGGTTCCGGGATGGGACGCAGCAGGAGGGCGCTGTGGCCAGCACGGTGAGATCTGTGGCTCCCCCAGACCCCTCGGCCCCATCCCAGGTCGCCTCTCATTCCCACATGGGCCTGACCCAGACTCGGGGGACACAGATGTGACAGGAGAGCTTGTAGGTAGTCTGGTCCAAGCCTCTCATCCATCGTGTAGCTGGGAAGGCAGGGATCCAAAGAGGAGGGAGCTCCCAGGTTCACGGCGCATTCGGTGGCTAGCAGGGACTAAGAATAATGCTAATACCAGCTACATTAAGCACCTACTGTGTGCCAGGCACTGTGCATGCTGGCTCCTAATGGACAGTCCCTCTCAATTGTCAAGGGAGTTTGATAAGGCAGGTGTTCCTTCCAACTCGACAAAGAGGGACACTGAGGGTCAGAGAGGTTGATGCCTCGCCCAAGGTCACACAGCTGGCATGCAGCACAGCTGGGGTTTGCTCGGCTGTGCTCCGTTGAGCACCTCCGGCTTCGTCCTTCAGCCTCTGGTTGGCACAGCGAAGAAGCTGAGGAGGCAGGCGTCCCACGTAGGTTGTACAGACGAGGAAGCTGTGACAGAGAAGCCATCGGGGGATGTTCTGGGTGGAGCTGGAATGAGCATCCCCATCGCCGGGTGGGCCAACATACAGGTGGGCCCAGCCCTTCGCTAGGTGCCGGGGGGACCTGCTCCCCTGTGTGCCTCGGAGAGCAGTGCCAGGCAGAACCCGATTAGCTCTGCCCTTGACAGGCTGCGTGACCTTGCCCAGGTCCCTGCTCTCTGGCCTTACTTTCCCCATTCGACCCAGGACAGTTTGGCCTCAGTGGTGCTTAACCTTTTACCACCAAGACGTGTAATTTTTCTCCTGTAGGACTACATATTTTGAAATGTTTTGGCAACCAAACGAGCTGATTTGTTAATGGCCATTTGTCGTCCACGTGCCTGCTCCCGTTTTCTAACGACAGCAGGTCCTGGCCGAGCAGCGGGGGGAGCCGGCAGCCCTGCACGGCGCTGGCCCTGCTCCCGTCCAGCAGAGGCGTGCTACTGTCAGAGCGCGGGGCCTCCCTCGGACAAGCAGTGGGGCTTCCCTGGCACAGCTGGAATATGGCAAACAGCTCCCGGGTTCCTGTGACCACATTCAGGGGCCTCAGGCTGGCCACCCTGAGCCAGTGAGACAGCCTGTGAGCCCTTCCTGCCCCTCAGGGGCTCACGGTCTGGCAGGAGCGCTCACACACAGGGCCCACGGGGCGAGGCAGCGTGTGCCCAGAGCAGAGCAGGACAGACGGACCGGGAGGGCCACGACGGCAGTGCAGAAGAGGGGACTGGGGCTGCACTCACAAAATCCCAGGAATGAGGCTCAGAACCACGGGGAATGGTAGCACATGCAGAGTGGGCTCCAGTGGAAACTGGACACGGGTCCGTCAGTTGCGTGTCATGTTCATTAGCGGAAACCGTGGGGTCTGGGAGGAGGGTGGATGGGAACTCGCTGCATTTTCTGTTCAGTTTTTCTGTACACTTAAAACTCTAAAAAATAAAGTGTATTAATTAAAAACCAAACCAAAGCCGACCTGGGGGAGGATGCTGGGGCTGGGGGTAGGGTGGGGAGGGCCGCACTTCCGGTTAAAGTTCACATGCCCCTCCGGCACAAGCCTGTCTCTGGGCCGGGCCATCCTGATTGCAGTGCAGGGGGCTTCTAGCTTGACCCCGTCCCCCACTTGTCCCACCCCAGGAACTGCTGAAGGATGGGAAGAGGGAGACCACCATCAGCCAGTTGCTCATTAACCCCACAGACCTGGACATTGGGCGTGTCTTCACCTGCCGCAGCGTGAACGAGGCCACCCCGACTGGCAAGGAGACTTCCATTGAGCTCGACGTGCACCGTGAGCAGGGGTCCTGCAGCGGAGCTGGAGGGAGGGGTGGGCTGAGGAAGGGAGTGTGGGGCGCCGTCGGAGAAGCCCCGAATGCAGATCCCCCGGGGCCCCAGGGCAGATGCTCTTGGATCCCCTGGTTGGAGTACCCAGGGGCCGCGGGCGGCGAGTCAGGCAACTCCTGCGTCTAATCCAGCCTGTGACTTCGGCTGCGACTTAATCTCTCTGACCCTCAGTTCCCAATTCTGTATAGTGGAAGAAAATAAAATACAGGCCCACGATCTCTTCTCTGAAATTCCAAACTGAAACTGATTTACTGGCAAAACATGAACTAAGGTTCCCCACGGTCTCTTACTTAACCCATATGTCACCGTGAGCTGTTGCCCGGACCCTGCTGGGGGTCTTTCATAGTAAATGGTCTGTGCACACCAGCACCTTTCTAAAATTTAAAAACTCCAAATTCTGAAATACATCTAATCCCATGGGGCTCAGAGGAGGGACTTGGGACCTGTTCCTGTCTGTCGGGGCTGTGGGAGCACCTAAACGAGAGAGAGAGAGAGAGAGAGAGAGAGAGAGAGAGAGAGAGAGAGAGAGTCCTAGCAGCCAGGATGGAGCCTGCTACTCAGGGGATGCTCCTTACAGCCCCTCCGCCCAGAAAAGGGAGGGAGCTGGGCAGGGGCTGGAGATGCCCCACCCCCATCCCTTTCCGTGAGCCACGCGAGGCCACGCTGACGCCTCGTGGCCACAGTGCACCATTACATCCGCTAATTGTCTCTCCTGCAGCAGCCTGGGTCCCGGCCCCCCGAGCCGGCCCCCTGGAGGCTCCGTGGGGTAAAGGGGAGGAAGATGGCTTCTCTTCTGGAGCGGCTTCACTACAGACTCCAATTCCCCGATCTCTGCACAGGGAGAGGGCTGGGTGTGTGTGTTAGGAAGAGAAAGAAGCCTGGGGGACAGAAAAGACCCTTCCTGTCCCCTGCTTTGCAGACCCTCCCACGGTGACCCTGTCCATTGAGCCACAGACGGTGCAGGAGGGGGAGCGCGTTGTCTTCACTTGCCAGGCCACAGCCAACCCCGAGATCCTGGGCTACAGGTGCAAGGGGTGGGGGCTGGGAGCACCCTGCGCCTGGAGTGGGGGGTGCCGGGGTGCAAGGGGGGGCCAGGGGCACCTTGCGCCTGGAGTGGGGGGTGCCGGGGGCACCCTGCGCCTGGAGTGGGGGGTGCCGGGGTGCAAGGGGGGGCCGGGGGCACCCTGCGCCTGGAGTGGGGGGTGCCGGGGTGGGGGTCGTGCTACTGGATGTGGGTGAGGGGGGCCAAGCCCTGATCCCCACCCTGTGTTGCCTTCACCCCAGGTGGGCCAAGGGCGGCTTCTTGATTGAAGATGCCCACGAGAGTCGCTATGAGACAAATGTCGACTATTCCTTCTTCACGGAGCCTGTGTCCTGTGAGGTTCACAACAAAGTGGGGAGCACCAACGTCAGCACCTTAGTAAACGTCCACTGTGAGTGGCCGGAAGGGCAGGGGTGGATGGGGAGGGCAGGGACCTTTGAAGGGTCTGGGGTAGGGGTGGGGGGACAGGGGACAGGTCAGGGGAGGTGGCAGAGCAGCGGAAGGAAGAGAGGATCGGCTAGAGCTGACCCCCCATGAGACTGAGTCCCTAGCAAGTGCTGTTTTCTACACAGTTGCCCCCCGGATCGTAGTTGACCCCAAACCCACGACCACAGATATTGGCTCTGATGTGACCCTCACCTGTGTCTGGGTGGGGAATCCCCCCCTCACCCTCACCTGGACCAAAAAGGATTCAAACATGGTAAGACGCCTGCTACCCATCTTGAGCGCGGGGAGGAAGGAGTCCGTCGCAGGTGGGAGAGCGAGGGTGGGGCGAGGCTGGTGCAGCATTACTTTTCAAGTCGAAGCTAGAGTGTTTCCAGGGTCTTGGGATTTGGAGGAGGCGGTCAGTGCTGGGGAGCAAAACCCACTTGTCCCCGCAGAACAGCTGGCAAGTTCAGTGACCATGGGAGGGACGGGGGACCTATGTGTGGGGGAGGGGGGAGGGGTGGTTTCTGCAGGTCCGGTGAATGATTCTACACAGGAGGGTGGGAGGGTTGAATTCTGCAGCTCTACAGACCCCTGCGTTAGATAGTTCGGGCTGGAATTGCAGGAAGAGGGATTTCAGGGTGAAACTTCCTGCCTTGTTTGGCAGGGAAAGCTCTAGAACAGACCGTCAGAGAGGCTGCGTTCTCTGGGAAACCACGCAGCGCCAGCTGCCCTCTCTGGCCTCCGCCCTTCTCAGCCCACTCTTGCAGAGACGGCAGGCCTCAGTGCGGCCCTGTTTAGAGTCAGGGGATGCACCCTTTGCCCTTCTGGGAATTCACTTGTGGCCCTTCCTGCTTTCTTCCCGATGCCTCCGATGCGGGGCCCCACTCGGACCCAGGGGCCCAGGCCTCCTGGCTCCCCACCCGAGGCTGCTCTCTCTGCCCAGGTCCTGAGTAACAGCAACCAGCTGCTGTTGAAGTCAGTGACCCAGGCCGATGCGGGCACGTACACCTGCCGGGCCATCGTGCCTCGGATCGGCGTGGCCGAGAGGGAGGTGCCCCTTTACGTGAACGGTGAGCGGCCTTCGGGGCTGGGCCTGGGCGGGCAAGTGCTGCGATGTCCCGCCGGCCCTGACCGCGTCTTCTTGCTCACAGGGCCCCCCATTATCTCCAGTGAGGCGGTGCAGTACGCTGTCAGGGGTGACGGGGGCAAGGTGGAGTGTTTCATCGGGAGCACGCCGCCCCCGGACCGCATTGTGAGTGCCTCGACTGTCACAGGGCCCGAGGACAGCCAGCCACCTGGAGGCTGCGTCCCTCTGCCCCCGTCCCTGCTCACGTGCCACTTCCCCCTCTCTCACTTGTCGCGTGACCCTGAGCCAATTACTGAGTGTTTTGATCCTCAGTTTTGTCATCCACAAAATGGGGGCAGTGTCCCTGCCTGATGGCCGCAGCAACAGGTGTGAGAGGCCGGGGCGCCCCGGCTGCTCTCTCTGCCTCATCTCCTTCCCTCTCCTCAGCCTCCCTCCACCCTGCCCCTGGGTTCCCCGGCCCTCTGCCCCCTTCTGTCTTCCTCCTCCTACCCGCTCCCTCTCCCCCCTCCGTTCTCCTCTTCCCCACACCATGCGCCATTAATTCCTCCCATGACCATTAACCGTGAAGCCCCTCATCACATTTAATGACCATTTGGCTAACTCCAGGGCTGCCCAGGGACACTTCATTACCACGGCCGCCTGGGCAGCGGGCGGCTCGGCTCCCAGGGGCTTTCCTTGCAGAGCTAGGAGGATTGATCCCTGGAAAGGAGCCAGTGCTCAGGGAGGGGACAGGAAAGGGGTGTCCCGACCGGGAACTCAGGGATGGAGGAGGCTGCGAGAGATCCTCCCTGTTCTAAGAGTCTGGGATGGGTCTCCAGAGCCCCCCGGGTGGGTTCGTGTGGGGCCGGCTGCGGCTTGGCTACAGGTAAAGCTGAAGACTCTCAGACCACCAGAGCTGGACAAACCCCGGGCATCCAACTCCGGCCTGGTTCTCTGCTTTTACAGATGAGGACACGGAGGCCCAGAGAGGGGAGGGGAGGCCACACAGGGGCTCGAGGGAGAGCCAGGCCCAGGGCCGCATGTTGACTCCCCATCCAGGACATCAGGGCTGCCAAATATTGGTTCACTGGCCCAGCCGCACCTGCGTCCATGGGATTGTTAGAAAAATAGAGATTCCTGGACCTCTCCCCTGGAGTTGCATATTTAAGAGTTAAGCTCTAAGAATCTGCATTTTAAAGAATGTCCCTAAGCATATCTGCATGTTCCTGGCATACATCTCCATTGTGTTGGTAGCCACTGTTTCCCTTAGACTGGAGATCCCATGCCAAGGCTTGAGGCAGCAGGTGTGACTTGGGTTTGTTGCAGAGTGAGCACTGGGCTGGGTTGAGGGACACACAGGGCACACGGGACAAGGATGCCTGGAGGGTGGGTCAGCTGTTTCTGCCACCTGCTCCTTCCTTATCCCCCCCTGCCCTCCCCACCCCAGGCTTGGGCATGGAAGGAGAACTTCCTGGAGGTGGGAACCCTGGAGCGCTACACGGTGGAGAGGACAAACTCGGGCAGTGGGGTGCTGTCCACGCTCACCATCAACAATGTCATGGAGGCAGACTTCCAGACACACTACAATTGCACGGCCTGGAACAGCTTTGGGCCCGGCACGGCCATCATCCAGCTGGAAGAGCGAGGTGACCGTGGCCAGGGTGCGGGGCAGCTGGGGGTTCTGCTCCCTCCTCCCTCCCCTGGCAGTCCTCATGGGGAGACAGCTCTCCCGGGGCGTACCCTCCAGAGCCTGCGCTGATGCTCACCTGGGGAAAACCACCCCCTTTTTTAAACATTCATTGAGCCTCCCCTCTGCGCCAGGCCCCGCACGAGGGGCAGCCGGGATGGCGGTGCCCAAGACGCGGTCCTGCTCCTTGAGGGAGTTTTGGGTCAGTGGAGGAGCACACGGAGTGGGAGCAAAGGACTTCAGGTGGAGAAAAGCAGATGCTTCATGAAAGGGTGTACTACTACCGACCTCACGGGGTTGGCGTGGGGATGAAGTAAGAATATCTATAAAACACCAGGCACGTGGCAGGCGCCCAGGAGCTTGTGGTGCCCCACCTCTTCGAGAATCCTTCATCTACTAGGAGGCACATGCTTCCTCCCTTAAGATGCTGCATGTCGAAGGAGAAATTGCCTTTGACTTTTTTGGAAGCTCTGACGAGGGAGAGAAAGGAGGGGGCTCCCGTCAGGTGCGTCTTAGCTGAGAGAGCCAGTGAGGGGGTGGTGGGGAGGAACGGAGCGGAGGGAGTGCGGCAGGACCCAGCGAGGAGGGGAAGAGCCTCCCGAGGATCTGATCCATCCAGGACTGCCAGGAGGGAGAGGAAGCTGGAGGAGGTTCCCTGGGTCCTACTCAGCTCTGGGGAGCAGGGAAGCCAAGGAACTGTGCGAGCCCTGGGAGGGCGGGTGCTGGTGCTGCCCTGGCCATGGGGTGGGGCCGGGGAGGTGGTGAGAGGTGGGGACACGGGTGACAGGTTGGAGTCTGTGGAGACAGCTAACCTCAAAGAGCAGCCCAGCCCAGGAAGCCGAGGCCAAGCCTCGCAGGCAGGTGGGCTGCAGAGGGGCGGGTGGGCCCCCAGGGCCAGGATCACGCTGTGTCACAGCTGCAGGGATGGGACATGGCCATGCTCCCAAGCCTGATCAAGCCGAAGCTCAGGCCTAAACCCAGACACAATGCAGACCTTCCCCTCCAACTGCCTCTGACTTGAGCAAACACCGATCCTGTCCGTGGATCTCGGTGGAGCTCTGGCACCTGGCCTTCAGGTCCCCGTGAGCCACCAGCCTCACCCCAGCCTCTCCTTCCCTCTGAAGAGGTGCTGCCCGTGGGCATCATTGCCGGGGCCACCATCGGTGCGGGCGTCCTGCTCACCTTCTTCTTCATCGCCTTGGTATTCTTCCTCTACCGCCGCCGCAAAGGCAGTGAGTATGCCCCCCCCCCCCCCCCCCCCGCGCGCGCACACAGCGACCCCCCCCCCCCGCCCCGCAGACGGACCCCCGCGCTCCTAGGCCTGGCCCGTAGCGGCTGGCAGAGCGCGTCCAGGCTGCCCTTCCCTGTCCAGGTCGCAAGGACGTGACCCTGAGGAAGCTGGACATCAAGGTGGAGACTGTCAACCGCGAGCCACTTACGATGCATTCAGACCGGGAGGATGATACAGCCAGCGTGTCCACTGCGACTCGGGTCATGAAGGCCATCTACTCGGTGAGGGTCCTCCTGCTCCTCCTGGCCCACTCCCCTCTTCACGTTCTTGGGACCCGCCCCAGCTCTACGAACCACCTTCTCTCTGTCTTCCCTGCCACACTCACGCCCAGGCTCACACGTGCTCACGTGTGTACACACAGGCGCACAAATGCTCCTGCATATACTCACATGCACGCACGCACACATCCTCCCCGGGCTGATTCCCCTGCAGCAGAAGAGAGGCATGTGGGGCCCCCCATAGGCCCGCGCTTGGCCCCATCCTTCCCCCACACAGTCAGACTTGGAAGCCCCTAGAAGTTCTCTGGTCCAACTGCCCCATAGCTCAGACGAGGAGACAGTCCTAGAGAGGGACAGTGACACACCCAAGGTCACATTGTGCGTCCGTGACAAACCCGGTGCCAGGCCGGCTCTCCGGCCTCTCCCCACCCCCGGCGCCCCGGAGCCTCTCCGGGGCGGGGCTCAGGCTCAGAACTCCAGTGCGCCCGGGGCCCCAAGCCCCTCCAGCGGCCCCTGGGCGTGGAGCGGGGCCGGCGCGGGATGAGGCCGGCCCGGCCCTGACGCCCACCCTGCGGCTCCGCAGTCCTTCAAGGACGACGTGGACCTGAAGCAGGACCTGCGCTGCGACGCCATGGACACGCGGGAGGAGTACGAGATGAAGGTGCGCGCGCGGGGCGGGCAGGGCGCAGGCCGGGGCAGGGGGATGCGGGCGGCCCGCGGGACCGGCAGGTGCACCACGGCCGCGCCTCCACCGCGCCCTCGCCCCTCGTCCCCAGGACCCCACCAACGGCTACTACAACGTGCGCGCCCACGAGGACCGGCCCGCGTCGCGGGCTGTGCTCTACGCGGACTACCGCGCCCCCGGGCCCGCGCGCTTCGACGGGCGCCCGGCCTCACGCCTCTCGCACTCGAGCGGCTACGCGCAGCTCAGCTCGTACAGCCGCGCCCCCGCGTCCGACTTCGGCCCCGAGCCCGCCGCCCCCGGGCCCGCCGCCCCCGCGGGCGCCGACTCGGCCGGCACGTTGTCCTATGAGAACTACGACAAGTTCAACCCGCACCCCTTCCCCGCGGCGGCGGGCTACCCCGCCTACCGACTGGGCTACCCGCAGGCGCCGCCGTCCGGCCTGGAGCGGACCCCGTTCGAGGCGTACGACCCGATCGGCAAGTACGCCACGGCCACCCGCTTCTCCTACACCTCGCAGCACTCGGACTACGGGCCGCGGTTCCAGCAGCGCATGCAGACTCACGTGTAGGCCCGGCGCCCGGCCGGGGCGCCTCTGCGGGGCAGAGGACGAGGCTCTCACAGCCGGTCCCTGATATTCAGGGGCGTTGCGCGTCGCTCCCGGCCCGGACCAGCCTTCGTCCGCCGCCGCCGCCGCCGCCGCGGCAGGTGGGGAGCAGGTCTCCCGGAAACACCCCGTCCCGAGGATGGTGCTCTGTGCATGCCCCAGCCTCCTGGGCCTGCCCTTCCCTCTTCTTCGGGAGGACGTGTCTCTTCTGACCTGCGCTCTCGCCTGGCCCCAGCACGGGGACAGGGACGCGAAGGTTGTGCCGAGCAGAGGGGGCACTTTTTAGCATTCCCATTCTGCCCCACCCCTTTGGTCTCCCCTAAGTGGACAGGGATGTGTGACGATGAGCAGGCGTTGGCCTAGGGGGACACGCAGTGGGGGGTGGGGGTGGCCCAGGCACAGATATGTGGAAACACGTTTGCCTGGCCAGCCCCTCTGTCCTCTGCATTCATAGCCCGGCAGCATCTTCCCTTCCGCGACTGCGGAAGGGACCTTGGATTGATTTTAGCTGTCCACAGAACAGCCCTGGCACTGAGTTCAGATCCGGCCCTCGTTCAGCTGGGATTAAAGGGCCAGCTGTCCTGGCTGCTCATCGTGGACACCTGTCTGTCAGCAGAGGATCCAGATTTGTCCAGTAGCCCCTTTCTCTCTCCTCTGTGCAGGGCCAGCCAGTTAGATCACGGGGTCCCCATGCAGAAAGGAACGGTGGGGGAACCATGTCCTGACTCACCAGCAGGAAGGCTGTGTGCCTCAGAGCGGTTTCCAGAACCCCCTCTAGAGGAGCCCCTTCCCTCCCCAGCCTGCCCTGTATCCTGGCTTTAACTCTTGAGCCTATCTGGGGAGTGGTGGTGTGAGGGTCGGATGCTATAGGCTATTTTTCAAAGACAACAAAAAACAATGAAAACCTCATTTGGGGAGAAAAAAAAAAGCTGTAGGGAATCCCCCGCCCCAAGTCCCAGTGGGAAGGCAAGGGGCCACCTGCTCTCCTCCAGATTCCTAGCACCGTCCATTACTCTGAATTTCCAAGCACTTTGAATCCATTTTTAAACATTCAGGTGGAAAGACCTGTCCCCGATGGGCTCTGACAGGCTTAGGGAGGGGGACTGGCTCTCAAGACTGCTTGTCCTGCCCACCAGCTGGTCGGGGAGGCCACCTTCCGGGGGCATGGGTGATAGTCTCTGCAGACAGGTTTTGGTTTGTTAAGTGTCTTTTTTTTCTTGGACCAATCAGATTCCTTCTTCCACTTTCAGTGCCTTGAGTGCCCAGCTTTGGTTGACCGGCCCTGTGTGGGGGGCCACGGGGGATGGGTATTGCAAGCCCCAGACACGCCGTCAGGTGTTGCAGAGTTTCCGGGACGGCGGGTGAGGGGCCCGGAGAGGGAGGAAGGTGGCACGGGAGGGCACTGCAGGCAGTCACGCCCATGCTGTCCCCACACACACATTCCACATGGCCATTCTCAGCCGCCGCCTCTGACCAAAGAGAACTGTGCCCCCGCCCCGGCCTCCCCTTCTCCCGACGGGCGGGGCCTCGGGGGCAATCCCCAGAACGCGCTTTGCCCTCTCTCCTGGTCACCACTCATTAGTCATGTTTGCTTTAATGAGTTACATGCTCATCAGCCACGGGCCATCACCACCCTTGCGGATGGGTCTGTGGGGTGACATTCCTCACTGTCCCCGCTCGTAAGGACCAGCTAATGCCCAGGGAGAAGGTAGCTCAGTTCCAGCCTGGCAGGCTGCCTCTCCCCTTCCGCAGCAACAGGGGCAAATCCTGGGTGTCTCTTGGGGGTGGGGGGGCATCGTCCCAGCTCCAGCTGCATTCCACCCCTACCCCTGGGAGCTGACCCCTCCCTACAGAGTCATTTTATGTGAACCTCTGGAGAAGGTCTGGTAAGGATGCAGGTTCCTGTGCAGATGAATTCACGCATATTCTGATTATCTTCGCAGAAACAGAAGCCTTGTGTAATCCAAACAGTTAAAGTCTAAAGATGGTGATGGCTCTTTAAACAGGAATATTCCAAAAAATATTCATTTGTATTTGGGGTTTGGCCACATTCTGTTTCCTCCCTTTTATTAGTGCTGGGTCCATTCTGTTGAAATGATGAAGAGGAGGGGCCCAGGGTCACTAGCTAACTCAGCTGACACTACAGGGACCATTAGTTTTCAGAAGCCTGTGACCATAGCTCCTTCTCTGCTCTCTGCTCTTTAACCCAGTAACCGGCCCCTCCTGGGTATGGAGCGTGCACAGTGCAAGGCACAGAGAGACAGCAGCGCCCCAGGCCCTCTCTGCCCTCTGCAATTTGCACGCTGTTCGTCTGATCACAATCGGAACTGGGGCCTGCCCATTGGGCCAAACGGAATTGCTTTTCTGGGGAGTGGAAGGCGCCCTTGAACGTAGTAGAGCTTTGCTGTTGGAGGCTGGGGCCCTCCAGCAGGGTGCCGAGAGTACTTGATGTGGTCACCTTGGTGATCCTGATCGCCTTTGATATTCTCATCTTAGTGAGAAGAGCAAGGCGCTAAGGGTCAGGAGATCGGGGACCCCAGCTTCAGGATGGGGTGAAGTGACCTTGGCCTAACCTCTTTACGTTTACTGCCCCCGATTTTCTGGCCTTAAAAATAGGGGGAGGGTTGCACAACCCTAGAATTATTCTGCTCTTGCTGTATTCATTCGGTGAGGTGGAGGGCCCAGCCACCCCTGGTGAGGAGCTGGGAACAGGACGTGAGCAGGGAAGGGATGGGGGTGGTGGAAGGTTCTCCTCTCTTGAAAAAAGCTTTCACTGTGGGCCTCTTGCTGGAAGTGTTACGAGTAAGTTTCCACTAGGGTCCCCTGGATGCCAAACGGCAACCAAGCATACCCTGAGCCTGGGTGAGATTGGTGTGCGTTTATCCTCTGACGATTGGGAATGGTCGCTCACATTGGGAGCCCCCTCAGTTTTGCCGGTGTGGCAAAGGCGTCTGTGGCCGGGGTGGGGCAGGGAGACTCCACCACTGGCGCCCTGGCTTCGGGCAGCTTTGACCGAGGGGGAGCTGGGAGTCGCCACTGTCCACGCCGTCCTTAGGAGCCCAGGGACGGCGCAGCCCTCTCACTGAGGAGGTGAACCTGCCGGCCAGGGTCTCCCAAGCCAGGTGGTGCGCTGTGAGCATGGCTGACCCCTCTGTGAAGCAGTAGAGGGAAGAGGGTAGAGCAGTTTTGACAAACTCTGGATCTCGAAGAGGCCCTGGTGATTGTGGGTGAGCTGCAGTCTCTCCCCTCGCGGGGGGGCTCAGACTGCATCCTGAATCCTGGATCCCTCTAAGCCCAGCCCCAGAGCCCTTGTGAGGTCAGGAAGGGGAGCCAGCAGGGATGGAGCAGTGCTCCCCCGAACGCCATGCCTGGGGTGGAAGAGGTCAGCTTGACCCCCCATCTGCAGGCCCATCACTTTGAGGACAGCATTCCAGGACTGAGCGCCCGGCCCGGCCGTGGAACCCGAGGCTTCTCTACCACTCTAGTGCTCTGTGTCCCCGGCCGGTCCCCGCCTTGAGCCTCTTGTTAGGGAATCACCTGAAAGGTGTTAGTGAAGGCCGTGACTGGTGGGACCAGTGAGGAGATGGTCACGGGACACTCCATAGACCGAGGGATGTAATTTGGAAAGGCATCTATTTTTGTGAAGAGGCTATAAAACTAGCATTTAAGTATCCCCCTCCCTTGTCCCTGCCTTCCCCTGCCCTCCAGAATGGGGGGGTTGGGGGAGGTTCCCATTTTCTTGCATCACTGTGAGGGAGCTCCAGGTCCCGTCCCTGGAGAAAGCATTGCTGTGCAGAAGTCACAGGCCATATGGGCGGCTCTGGTACAAGCCTGCCCTTAAAAATAATAACAGTAATAATAATAATAATAGTAGCTCCGTTTGCATAGAACTACCACATTCCCGCCAGCCTCCTGCCCCTGCTCCTGGCTTTTCGCTGGCCACAACCATGGGCCTTTTCGAGGGTCGGTGGGCTGTGGGGCCTTCTACCTGTTTCTGGAGATCAGACGCTGCCCCGGGAATACCCCCCACTGGGGAGAGCGCCACCGAGCGCCGCCCGGAGGCCTGACTGCACCAAGTCCACCCAGAGGAGCCCTGGGGCCCCGAAGGTCACGCTCTCCACCCCGACCACCCTCGGGGTCACAGCCTCTACTTCGGGCTCCAGTTGAGTTTTCTCCTCCCAAGCCCCAATAATAAATGGATCCATGATGACAAGAGAAGAGAAAAAAATATTATTTTTGTTAGGACAGACCATCGTAGGTTTTTAGCAATGTGTGTCTGTGTGTCCTCACGCCTTTTCCTATTCTGCCTGTTTTCATTTTCCTTTTTTTTAAATATTATGTACTATATTTTTAGTCTCAAACACACTATATATTATATATATTTAATTTTTTTATATATATAAATATAAATGTTTTAAAAAGCACCATGTTTTGTGTTATTTAAGGCATGAGCAGCTCTTGTTACTTAAAAGCTTGCCTGATTTGGGGTGAAATGGTCAAATTTGGGGAAAAGAGAGATTTTGGGGTTGAGATTGCAGAGAGGATCTATTTGTGTCCTCCAGGTGGCTACTTATATTTGTGGCTGTCGTAGGGCCCTGCGGCCAGGGAAGCTGGCAGCTGTGTGTGGGGGGGCAAACAGCGGGAGGTCACCGCACCCTAAAGTTTGGTGCCAAATCCGATTATGGGACAGGAAAGGGGGCGACTGACCCCGGGGTCCAGATCCCGAAGGAACTGGGAGAGGGTGGGAGCCAGATGGGTTGCATTTATTAAGATGCAGAGGTTTGGGTCAGCAGCGAAGTTCCCAAACCTGTGGCCTTCTTGTTCAGAGTGAGGAGATGTGAGCAGGTGCTGTGGAGGCCCGCATGGGCCATCCCGCTGAGAAATTTGAAATCCTGGAGTGTAGTGGCCTTCGCAAGGACTTCACTTTGGTCATTTGACAGGAGCGTTTGAGGATCACTGGGGGAAAAACGGCTGTTTTCAGATCATGTTTTTTGAAAGCTATAAATCATCAGAGAGATAAAAGGCTTTATTGTTTGCATCATCCACGTAACAGCCACGCAAACCAAAGCTGGTCCACGGTAGGCGTTCTGTGTGCAAGGGACACAGGACACGATCAGAGACAGAGGTAGGGATGGGAGAGCTGAAAAATGCTTTAGAGGTAATGCAACCCATTTCCAAGAAGGTCGGAGGTCACAGTCAGAGGCCCCGCTGACGGAGGGGCTGGTGCAGTGGGAGCCGTGGGGAGACGCTGTGTCCAGGACCAGGAGCCTGTCGGTGGCTTGAGGCTAGTCCCACGTGGGCAGGAATGAGAGGCCCAGGTGCAGGTGGACCTGGGGGCTGCAGCCAGGTAAGTTGAACTGGGGCAGGTAAAACCTGGCATGATAGTTGGGGGCCAGAAGCAAACAGAATAGAGTAAGCAAAAAAACAGAGAAGAAGCAGGTGTGCAAACATGGAGACCCAGGTGAGTCCGTTAGGCCGAGTGGTATGCGGTGGGTCCGAGTGGGAGGCACCTGCTTCCTCTCTGCATCCCCAGAGCCCAGCACGGGGCCAGCAGGCTCTTGGGGACAAGCCTGTGAGCTGTAGAGGGCACCATTCTGCTCCTGACACAAAGGCACCACAGGAGCTTGTCCCATGTTTTAGGCCTCTGCCTGTGACGGGGGCCCCAGCCGCTCCCTTTAGTCACCCCCAGCTTGAGGACAAGTGGTAATCGCCAAGCTCGGCAGAGTCTGAAAAGCCACTCCCTCCTTGTGAAGTCCTCTAGCCCGAGGCACAGACAGCCTCCTGTCTGTCCTTCCTCACCAAAGTCTGAAGTTCAGCTCCCCACTGATCTCCATCCAGACCATCTTCCCAGAGGACAGGCTCATTCAACTCTCCCCGTCACTCCCCCAGTGTTTTTGCCATTAGATGGAGTGCTGCCCTGGGGGCATGCCCCACCGCTCCTCCCGCCTCTGTGCTGAGGCCTCAGGTCTCCTTCTCTGCCTGGAATGCACCTGTCCTTTTGCCTCCTCATTTCCAGATTGTACTCATCTTTAGGGCCCAGCTCAAAGGCCCTCTCCTCTAGGAAGCCCTGCCTGACTCATTATTGATTCACCTTCGCTCCCTCCCGGGAAGTCCCGGGACAGGTGAGCTGCAGGGGGCTGATCTCATTTCCAGCTGTCTGCTCCGAGGGCAGGGTTATGCGTAGGACACATTAGCACTATCCTCTTAAAATAAGGGCCCTTGAACACAGAGATCATGTATCATGTATTTTAGGATCCTAACCACCTGGCATACAGTGGCTCTGTGTGTGCTGGAGGGATGTGGATGGCGAGAAGGAGAGGAAAGCCAGCAGCCCCGTGCACGCAGGGCACTGAGCTGGGGTGGGGGGCGCGCGCCTCGAGGATGTGGGGTTTCATGAGGCAGGACAGCATGGTGACTCAAAGCATGGGCTCTCAAGTGAGTTTGCACAAGGTTGGACATGGCCAATGCCCGCTAAGGTTGGGTCTCTCCAAGCCCCCTGGCTGTTGGACAAGGCCAACCTGACTAGTTTGGGCCAGTGTGCTATAAACAGAAGTGACTTGTCACTTCCAGACCAAAGCTCTTAATCGCTAGTGTGAGACCCTCCAGTTCTTCCTCTGCCTGCCTGGCCACAGGAGCTCATTTATTCCAGATGGTGAGGCTTCATAAAGTGGGTCCCTCTCTGCCTGGGTCCCTGGATGACTCCGCGAAGCCATGATGAACATGGAGTTTGAGGGGGAAATGAATCTTTGTTGTGTTCAGTTCATGAGAGTGTGGAGTTGCTTGTTACCGTGACACAGCATGGCCCATCCTGATTAACGCGGACCTTCTCCGCTTGCTCCTGCCTGACCTCGGGTCTCTACATCCCACTTTTCTCCTCCATGAACTGACAATAGCTCCTATCCCACACAAAGTGCCTAGCAGAGTTCCTAGCACAGGACTACTCGGTAGCTTTTGTTAGCCTGGAGAAAGGGGAGCGGTGGGTATCTGCCCCGGGGGCCTGGGCCCCTTTCCTTAGAGACATCGACAGGGTCAACAGTTGCCCCCCAGCAGTGCCTCATGCCTCCACTATCCCCGCCCCCCCCCCCCCCGCAGGTCAGCACATTTTCTTTTCTTTTTTTTTTTTTTAAAGATTTATTTGTTTGAGAGAGCGAGAATGAGAGAGAGAGAGAGTACACGAGAGGGGGGAGGGTTAGAGGGAGAAGCAGGCTCCTTGCCGAGCAGGGATCCCGGGACTCCAGGATCATGACCTGAGCCGAAGGCAGTCGCTTAACCAACTGAGCCACCCAGGCGCCCCAGCACATTTTCTGAGCTACCTTTTCTTTGCAAAATGTGAGCGCTCAGTGGGAGGAGATACACACAACCCTTTGCAAATTGCTAAATGCTATTCAAATGCGAGCTGATTACCTTGGCAGCATCCTACCCCCACTCTGCAGCACCGACACACACCTTGCCGCCACCAACGTCCCCCAGCCCCCCCACATGTGCGCTGGATGCCGACAGCTCTAGCAGTGACCTGATAGCAGGGGATGGGCCCGGCAGAGCCTATCTGGCCGGCCCCCAGGGTTCTAAAACCAAAAGACCAGCTCTTCGCAAAGCCGGAACCTGGGGGAGGAGAAAGATCACTTCCTTACTTTTCCATTTCCTTACTCACTGTAATTAGCTGTACAGAGGCAGCCTCCTGGGGAGCAGAGCCATCAGCTCCCAGAATTGAACGGGGAGCTTTGTCTTTTTGTTCCTCTCCACATAATACTGCTCTCTTGGTGGTCGCTATGCACACACATCCTGCATTCATTTGCAAACTGGGGAATATTTCATATTTTGAGGCTCAGATGAATGCTCCAGCTCCCCGAAAGAGACACTGGTCGGGACTTCACTTCAGGCACTGTCATGTCCACGCTCCTGGTCTGGAACCCCAGTCGTGCGGGCCTGGGAGATGACCAACGCTTTGTTCTTCTTGGAGACTTCTCTAAAATAGATGCCTAACGGGGACACACACTCAAGAGTTGAGGGTACCTCTGGGGCACCTGGCCCAACTATGGACCCAAAGCAGGAGGCCCTGCTTGGACTCAGAGACAGGCTCTGCTTCAAGACCCTCGAGCCCGGGAAGCAGGGTGGCTTTTTACGGAGTCTGGACTTGGGGATCCAAATGCTGGGACTTCCCTCTGGCTTCCCCAGGCACCAGCTCTGCGCCTTTGGGAAAAATCATTTGACCCTTCCAGGCCTCGGTTTGCTCGTTGATAAAAAAATCATTCCTTCATTCATGCCAAAAATATTTATTGAACATTTGCCACGTGTCTGGTACTATTCCAGACCCTGGGGGTGCCGCAGGGCAGCACCAAGTGCCTGCAGTCATGGCGCTCACAGGACAATGATGGGTGGCGGCAGGTGGAGGGGGAGACAGAGCAGGGTACGCGGGTAGGTGGCCAGGATGCTGGGAAGAGGGGGGTGGACAATAAGAGAAGAGGAAGGGTAAGCTCGGGGAAAGAATATGCTAGGCAGAGGGAAGAGCAATTGCAAAGGCCCCGAGGCAGAAAGGAGTGTTGGGTGTTCAAGGCCCAGCTGCCGGTGTCCTGAGAGGTGCTAGCAAATCCTGTCGGAAAGGCAACTGGAACAGATCTTGGGAGGACTTGCAGGCCATTAAAAAGGACTTTGGGAATTATTTCGAGATGGGAAAATGTAGTAAGTCAAGCCATATGAAACTGCTGTTTTTTCTAGGTCAGAAATGGTTGAGCATCAGCAATTTTATATGGTTCAACCTAATAGATGTAAACGTGCAGTGTTGCTAATTTATTATCATCACTTTAAAAAACAGGCTTTTCTATTATTTTGGCAGGATTAATTGGAAGACATGTCTTCCTTCTATTGAGCATGAATCTGCCTCCTTGCAGTTTTCACCCAATGGTTATAATCCAGCCTCCAGGGCATTGCTGTCTGGGGAACCAGCCCCCCTTCCCCACGCAGCCCTTTTGATATTGAGCCCCAGTTATTGCCATGACGTCATGTCTCTTCGGAGACACCTCTTCCTAAGTTAAATATTTCTGATTCTGCAAACCCTTTCTCTTGCCACGTGGTTCCCTGACTGCCTCCTCTCCCGTGCCCTGCCTGCAGAGTGAGTTCTGAACAACCCTAGGAAGGCAGTGTTTCCTGCTGCACCCCACTAATCGGGGAGAGTTCCGCACCTCACCCCGCTGAGGTTCTCTGCGTTCCCTCACCTCCTCGCTCTCAGTAAATACACTGCCTTCTGGCTCTTCCCCAGAAGGGAATGGTGGTCCCTTAACCTCCCAATGGCCTTGAGACCATCATGTCCACTGCAGTGGGAGAATGTGCCAGATTCTCAGGCAGAAACCCCTAGGAGACGGAGTAAGAGGGCTGCCCATGTCCTGCAGCTCAGCCACGGCCAAGCCCAGCACCACAACCTCGGTTC